ATATATGTATATATTAAATATACATATAAATTATTAGCCATTACATGATATTAAAGTAATTTAGATTATTAAATCATATTGAATATATATTATATATACAAATAACATAAAATCTTACTTTTTATATTTTTTTATTTTCATTCATAAATTGTAAAGATTACTATAGCGGCATCTCTCTTACATTATATAAATTATTTGTTTTGATGGTATGGATGATTTTCTATTAAAAAAAAATATAAATAGGGTTAAATGTTAATAATTTAATAATGTAATTGCAAAAAAAAAAAAAAAACTGAAATTCATTAACAATTCGGACAATTCGGGGAACTTGAGCAATTCGGGTTTAACTCGGGTCGGGCTTGGACAGGCAATCTCAGGTTACAATTTGGGCCTGAGCTGGCCTGGGCAGGTCTCAGTACAACTTAGGTTGGGCTTGGACAACCTCCCAACCCGACCGAACCCACCCGAGTTGCATCTCTAATTTTAATCAGGTTGGTTAGGTTCGGTGTCGATCAATTGATTGATGAGTCCACTACAACCCGTATTAATATATGGGTAGTTTTGGTTTTATTCTTGGCCCGATAGGGCCTAGATATGGGAAACAACTTTAAAATTATTTTTAAACTAAAATTTATTGGAAATTTCATTTTCCTCCCAAACTATACTCCTGTAATCAATTTCACATCCGAACTTTTGATATTGTCAATTTATCCTCACCTATTTAAATCGTAATCAATTTGCCCCCTACTGTCACATTTAAATGGAAAAAGTTAAAAAAAAATATATTTTGGCCTGAAATTTCAAATTATTGTTTCAAATTCACCTATTCTCTTGTCCTCTCTCACCCAAACCACCCTCTGTCCTCTATCAACCAAACAACAATCACCACACCACCACCACCATCACAAACACAAGTGGATATCAAAATTGTCACCAAACTAATTTTTAGTATTTTTTTAAAAAATATATATATATATTTTGAATACAAAATATTTTCAAGAAGGATGTTTTTTTGACTATCTACATTTCATTATAGATTCAAATGCACATTGATAAAAATTGAAATTAATATCCAAAACTAGCAGAATCGTGCAGTATTAGCTGTTCCATTTCAAGGGTTTTACATGCTTGTCACTCCAAAACCAAGTGTTATCCGTGGGGGTCGCCAAACCCATCTTTGTCTCATTCAAGACATTTTGCGACCAAATTCACATGAACATTGATTTGAACTCAAAGGAGGGTCCTCTTTTGATGTTGTTTAGGCTAAATAGGGAAGAGTTGAGAGCCAACCCAATTGTTTTGTCTCACGCTTTGAGTTCTTGTGGGTGTCCAAAGGCTATCGTTTTGGGAATTCAAGTTCATTGCTTGGTAATTAAAACTGGGTTTTTCACCAATGTCTAAATTGGTAGTTCTTTGATTAGTTTTTACTGCAAATGCAACGAGTTAGGCGATGCATATCAAGTGTTCGACAAAAATGTAGTTTCATGGACAACAATGATTACTAGGTTTGCACAATAGTGGAAGATTGATGTGTGTTTGGAACTCTACCATCGAATTAGTTTACACTAACCAGCCTTTTGAGTGCTTGCACAGGCAATGGGTTTCTTGGACATTGGAAGGATTGCTCATGTATATAAATATATGTATCAATTAAATAGATTTGAAAATTAATTGAATTGAATTAGTTTGTTTGTGTTTATTAAAATCTAAATTAGTGTTCATTATTATGTATGATTATTTGTGAATCGAAGTATATCTTCTTTTTGATGAATTTTCTTAGTTTTTAGGATGGTTGGTAGTGGCGGGAGAGAGAAGAAGGAAGATGAAGAACATGTTATTGATTTGTTGAAGCTGTAAGACCTGCTATTCTATTCAGCTGCTATCACTCAACCATTTTGTTTGTGTGTGTCTATCTATATAGTGTTTGATAATAATAATAATAAGTGTGGTCTTTATTTATTTGGCTTGCTTAAAATATGTATATATATAGGCTCTTATTTATTCTTTTACTTTTTCCGTTGTTTATCTTATGTATAATAGTTAGTGATTGATTTTTTGTATAATATAAAGTCATTAATTATTAAAATAAAATGTAAAAAACTCAGTTTATAGTGATTTAAAAATATGAAATATATTGCATCATACTTAAAAATTTACAAAAATTGATCAATATTTATTTTTAACCCAATAAATATGATCATGGAAAAAAAATATGCGTATCGGTAAGTTTTTTTCAAATTGTGCGAAAAATAAAAAAAATTCACGGTTCCGGTTACCGCAACCGTTACACTACGGCCTTTACACCCCGCAACCGCGTCACCGCCACCGTTACGGCGACCGCAACCGCTTTTCAGAACCTTGCTTATACACTGTTTAGTCCTAAAAGTTTTCTTATAGACTGAAATGTCCCATTACAATGTTTCAAACATCAAATTAATGTTTCAAACATTAGATTTCCATCATCTAATGTTCATCAGATTTCAATAATGTTTGAAATTATAGGATGAATGTTTCAAACATTAGATTTCAAACATCTAATGTTCATTAGATTTCAATAAATTTTGAAATTATAGAATGAAACATTAGATTCATTTACATCATGAACATCATGATGATGTATAAATGGGACTAAATGGAGCATAAGAAAACTTTTAGGACTAAATGGTTCAACTTTTCAGAAAATAGGATTTATGGGTAAATTTTTTTTGGGGGGTAAAGAAATTTCCTCTAAATTCTATTTAAAAAAATAATTTTAAAGCTGTTTCCCATATCTAAACCTTGCTAGGCCAAGAATGAAACCCAAACTACCCATATATTAATATAGGTTGTAGTGGACTCATCAATCAGTTGTTTGACACCGAACCCAACCAACCCGATTAAAATGGCGCCCTAGGGCTTAAACTTGTCTTCTCTTTGTTTTGTCTACTCGTACTCGCTGTTTTTCTCTCTCTCTAGACATTCTCAATCATATCACTCAATCAGAAGCAAAGAGAGAGAAACAAAGAAAGAGAGATGGGAACAAAGGACTCGCAAAAAGCTTGAAGATAACAGCTGGTGATGGATTAGCAAAAGCACCACTCTTAAAGAAAAAGAAGAACAAGAACAAGAACAAAAAAATCCAACCTTGCTGAAACAGGTAGGTGGATTGTATTTTTGTTTTTCTGTTTAATTTATTCTGATAAATACCCTATTGGCTAAGGGGGTTTGTCTCAAATTCGTAAATTTTACATTTTTTTATTCAGAATTTGATTCTCTTTATGTTTATATGGAGGAATAATTAATATGTGTTGCAATTAATTTGCGTTTATATTTGGTAAAGCTATATGATAGAATGGGTTGGAGTGGAATACCCATTATAGTTTTACATTCCCTTTCTCTGATTTGATTCAGCTCATGTAAATGTAAATGACCATTCGACAAAAATTGGGATTACATATTCTATGATACAAGCTAAGAAAATTAGAAATAAGCAATTTCATTCCATTAGGGGGATGACACTCATAGATTAATGGTGTCTTTTTGTTTCTCCAGAGCCAAAGTTGTGTCAAGTAATGGAAGTAAAGAAAAGAAATAAATCGCCAGGGCATAAGAGAAGAGAGAGGGAAAAGGGATGCAAAATTGAAGCCACTAAAGTTGATCCGTACAATATTGAAGGTGAAGGTATCTTTGATTTATTAATTTTGTGTTTAATGGGGCTACTTATCTTCTTATGTTGCTCAAATAATGTTTATGGGTTTCAGCAGACAAGTCAGATGAAGCAAAGAGAGAAAAGAAAAAAAGAAAATTGTTGAGGAAGAAAAAAAAGAATGACGTGACAAATAAAGCTGAAATTAGCGAAGTTGATGACCTATATAATGAAGTGGAAGGTGGCTTTGATGAACAGAATGGTGCACATGCAGATAGAGAAAACAAAGAGAGAAAATTGAGGAAAAAGAGAAGAAAAAGTGAGAAGACAATGAAATCTGGGGTTGACAAAGTCGATGAACTCAGTAAGGAAGCTGAAGATGGATCTAAAGAAGATAAAGGTATGAAGTACTAAGGAACTATATGATCATTTGAAAATGAAACTTTTCACAAAAAGGGATCTTTCCAAGCTCCTTGTTGAATACCTCATTCCTTTCACTTATTTATTTTGTTTCTCTTTTTTGAACTTCTATTATAGTGTTTTCTCTTTTGCTCTAATCTGCCTGTGACTGTTACCTGTTAGAGCGCAGTATAAGAATGTCCGCATAAGTACTTAACATGTAGGCTATAAGATGGTATCTTTGAAGTAGAGATTCCTTTGTTTATTTCGTTTCCATTTTCTATAATGATAATGCTTTTTCTGGTTGGACTGCAGCATTTGAGAAAATTCTACCGATAGTGACTTCTGTGAATTCATCCTCTTGTTGGCGAACTTATCAAAAATAAGAAAACATAACAATTCATCCACTGGTTGAATTAAAATTATGGTCCATTCTCATTTCTTTGTTTGCAGTCTGTTGGACTATGCATATAATCTAGATCAATGATTGAGGTTCTGAGCACCTTGCATGGTGAACACAAAAGTAGAAGAGTTAGGTTGGTGTGAAGTGCGTTGCCACTCCTTGTAGTGGTGCATCTGAAAAGGAGCACAATGAGGTAAAATTTTGATGGGGTGGAAGTGTCAATTACCCCGCAGGCAGTGCATGTGTCTGTCGTGTGACCATTTTCTGCTACCTTTTCTAATGGAACCAGATGGAGGGTTAACATTGTGACAAAAATGATCGACAAAGTGCTTGTAAGATTGTTGTGTGAGATTCTTACATAACTACATGATATAACTTTCTGTTAATTTGATTTTTGCTCTGATTAGAAGGATTTTATTTTTCAAACTCTAGAACTTGACAATAAAATTGATAAATTTCCAAATATTCAATGTTATGTTGCGATTGTAATATTTGTGGTATTATTACAATTGTAATATTTGACTTTCTTCCTGTAGGCAAGTCAAAAAAGTCTCGTAAGACTAACTGACTAAGAAGAATGACTGCCTGTTGTCAAACAAAGATGAGAAATTACTGGAGAAGAGAGCAGAATCTGAACAAAATGAAGTCTATGAGATATCTTCAGGAGATGAGGACTGCTCCAGAGGAATGAAAAGTATGAATTACTATTATTCAAATGCACTTGTTTTTTCACCTGTGAAACTCAAATGTTTTGAACAATCCTTGAATAGCCAAACAAATGTTTTGAACAGCTCTTGATTTATTGGTTCAGTGTATACACATCCTATTTCTTCATTTTTTCTCTAGCAGTACATATATATATTTATGTTTTTCAAGTTCTTTTATTATTATTATTATTATTATTATGCTTCAGAATCAATTTTGTCAATAAGATTTAAGGCCTCTTCAAACTCTCCTTGATAAAAATAAAATCTTCTCATAACATGATGCCGGCAAAACTTGCTTGTTCTATTTAAGAGAAAGAGACATGCTTTATAGTCCGTTCTTCCTGAATTTCTATAGTAGTCTTTCTTTTTTTTGATTGCATGCTAAATGTTTTAACCTTCTTAGTGATAATTTCTTTTTCTTGATGAGAGCTGCTTAACAAGAGTTTTTTGGAATGCAGAGTGGATTACAGAATACCATCAAAGTAGACCAGGGTTAAACATATTGCAACAAAGGATTGATGATTTTATAATTGCTTACGACGAACAAGAGGAGCAGGTATTTTTCCTCTCTCGGGCCTCTCTGTTATGCCTCCACCTGTTATTTTGGTGGAGGCCTATGGTGTTTCGTTGAGCTGCTTTTACATGTGATGAAATTGTGATACATATAATCAATCCTATTTGTTTCGTTCATTACTAAAATGAATAAAATCCTATCAAATATATATATATTTTTCCTTTGAATTACTCATATGTATATACCCTATAAATATAGGTTTTTATATGTACATAAATCAATGTTCTTTGGAGTTCCTGGTTGAGTCTTTGGCTTGTGTACATTGGTAGCATCCCTTGATGCTTTTTTAACACAATTGTTTTACTTATAAAAAAACATAAATAAGTATTAAAATTTTAATGTATGCCAATCATCTCTGAGTAGAGTGTTTTGAGCATATGTTAATGTCAGCATGTATAATGGTGGAAACACATCTTATGTGTTACTAAATTTTGAGTGAAATACTGATATTTGCATAAACTGATTTATCACATATAAGCACGTGCTCAACGATTATGGAAATCTGTTTGTCCTATTTCCATCTGTGAACTTTGCAGCTGGGCCTGACTGTTATTTCATTCAATCTATTATGGCACTTGCAGGCAAGAAAAGAAAGCGAAGCCCTTGCTGCTGAAGGTGGATGGACTGTTGTGGTACATCACAAGGGTCGGAAAAAGACAACAGATACTGAAAGTGGAATTACTGTGGGTTCTGTTGCCCATGCTGCTGTTCTGGAAAATATGGCCAAGAAGAAAAGTAAAGATGTTGGGTTAGATTTCTACTGGTTCCAGAAAAGAGAGGCCCAGAGGAATGGTATGTTGATTCTCACAAACAAAATTCTATTCCCTGTTCCTTTTCTGGGAATAATTGTTAGTGCATACCTTGATAATACATTTAAATGGATAATTTTAAAAAAAAAATTTAGTTTATTATATTGATATAGTTTAACCGTGCTCTCTAACATCTGCCTTTCACCTTAAATTTGGCCCCAAGTGTGATGCATTAGCCTGCATAACTTGATATGCTACATTCTGTTTTCATTCCTCTTATTTCTGTTGACACTTCAAGTACATTTGAGTTCTGGACCTAATTCTTATACATCATTCAATTAAAGTAATGGATTTGCCTAATGGAGGCCTACAAAAATAACGCATTGTAAAGTCGTAAACTTACATTGTGGTGTGTCCTTGCTGTAATCTGATTCTATCTTTTTCAATAGAAAATTGCTAAACATTGAAGTACTTTTTTACATATTTGTCACTCTAAAACTATCATTGTCAAGTTATTGGTGAGTATATAACCCAAGACAAATGCACTGTTATGTATCTTTGTTTATTGTTCTTTGCAGCTGTTGATGTATCTTCTTGGCACTTGATTTGCAGAGATTATGACACTTCAAAGCAAATTCGAGCAGGATAAAAAGCGGATACAGCAATTGAGGGCTGCAAGAAAGTTCCGGCCCTACTGAATGCTGCAGACAATCTACAAAGAAAGATCAATGGCCAAAGCATCTCACCTGTTCTTTTGATTATTAGAATTTTATGTTTGAGGGAGGATGGTTCATTACCTTAACAATTGAAAACCTTGCTTTCTTTCCCTTCCTTTTTTTGTTTGTAGGAATGATGAGAAAAACCAATTGCACGATGATTTAATGTGATACATGTACCGTTTTGAGATCAATTACAAAGATGCTTAAGTTTTGGAATTATTTATAGCCCAGCTCGGTGGTATGACAGTGCTCAGTAATTTACAATGAAGCTACCAAATGTGATAAGTTAGACAGGGATTTGTGGTAGTGATATACAATGATTATGCATTTGGATTCTTGCGTTGCATTTGGGCAGTATATAGCAGAAATGCGTACCCAAAAAGGGCTACAGTTTTAATGGCTATTAAAAGCAGTGGTGTAGCAACCTGCATTCATATTTCAACTATCTTCCTAGTAGAACTCTCATTCTCATACAGCCTCTCCAATTCTTCGCCAAGTTTTTCATGAGATTCAATTCATTTGTCAAACTTGTACCTGTTTCTCGGGAGAAAAAGAAGGGCAAATTTCACTTTATCTTCTTGTGATTTGGTCCGGGTACAGATTACCTCCATATTAGGAAATTACCACATAACCCCTATGTGGTTTGTGGATTAAAAAGCAGTTAGCTTTTCCATTCAAGATAATATATTGTGAGAGTCACGCGCTTGCAAGGAGAGCAACACTATTTTTAAGACGAAAATGTCCCTGGCACATCTTCAAATTTATAAACAATGCCATTCAATTATTTCTCTCTCTACTCCTTTCATCCCAACCATTAGCAGCCTTCCATTTTTTTTTCCTTCTCCTCCTTTTCTCCTCTTCTTTTCTTTTTTCCAGCTCATCAACGTCCACTGCTTGTAGCTTCTCCCGTGATCAAACTAAAACAAAAATTTTATATGAAAGCCACTAAATACCGGTAGCCTCATGGATTCTGCCAAAAAATTTCTAGTTTAACAAATGTTTAAACACCATGGCTTGTTCTTTTGTAGCTTACTGCATATTCAATCCCTTTCATTCATCTTCCTTCAGTAAAATCCATCCAGTGTCTCCTTTGCTTCCATATCCTTACCCAGCTTCATTGCTAACCATTTTACCTCTTCCCTGATACTACATGGATGATTGCTGACACGGATAGGCCCACGAGATATACGGCCCACAGTAAACCACCCCAAACCCATCGCTTGGGACCAATGGCACAACCCGGTTGGCAAAGCCCAGGACAGCTGGAGGCCATCTAGACATGGAGGGCCAATGGCGTTTGGGCATATGGCAGGTGGGACACGGGCCACATCAGCAGACAAAGATCTACAGAGTTATTATCACAACACATCACCATTAATGCAGCCCATCACAGCATTTATTACGACAACACCCCCCCGTCGGAACAGAGCCCCATCACTCTGAACAAGGTAAGCTACGGCACAGGCTTTCGGCGAAAGGAAGCACGTCACAAGAGACAGGGAAATGATGACCAAAGAATATAAGCAAAGATAGAAAGACAAGAACAGGTTTAAGTTATCTCTCTCTCGATTCCTCTCTCTACATTCACTACTCCATCCTTTATTAATTCTCACACTGGAGGGTTCACTGGGGGATTGCCCCGTTCCCCTTTGGGCTTGTATGCAGGTCATTTGACGGAACCATCACCCCGAAACAGAACCTGAAGAGCCTGGACCAAGCCGACCCATCCACCCGGGAAGAAGAAACTTATCAGTTGGCGCCGTCTGTGGGAACCTTAGTGGTTTATCCGTGCGCTAGTTGTGTTCACTACCGCCGGAGCCCCCCCTTTCTCACCATCACCTTTCCCTCTTGCCCGTCCAGGTGTATGGTCACGACTAGGTTCATGGCTTCTCACCACAATGCCACCGATCACCAAACAGATCCTTCCCACCCAACCAACCCACCACAATACATCATCGAGCTCACCAACAGCATTAACCGCATGGCCGAGCAAAACCAAGCCCTGACCCCCGAATTTCAGATGGTGGTGGATGCTGCTGTCGCCAGGAGTCTGGCTGGTCAAGAGTCTGGGGGGGTGGGCCCATCGAGGAAGACTGCTGGAGGTAGGACAGAAGCAGAGGTGATTGAAAGCTTCCAGCAGTCAGACTTCTATAAGCACGAAATGGCCGAGTTCTAGAACAGCGGTTGGAAAATGTTCAAGCGCAGAGCTGAAGAGCTGTTCCCACACTTGGACCTGAGTAGTGTGACAATAGGCGAAGATGATGTGGCCCAGACCCCCCTGGACGAAGGCGTTGAAGAAGAGGATCTGGCATCCAGCGAGGAGGAGTAGACAAAGAGAAGAAAAACTGGGCGTGCTCTGTGTTTTTTTTTTTTTATTAAACTTGTAAACACATTGTAAAGGAATGAGTGAATGAATGAAGGATGGAGAATTTAACTGTAATGAAGTTGTGTACAAAGATTATTTAATTGTAATGGATGAATGTATAACCAGTTGGATTCTGTGTATTTTTGCTTATGTTGCCAGCATGAATGAAATGTTGTGATTGAAACTGGTCATAAAGATTGGGTCAATAAATTGGAGTTGTACGAAGTTTGAAAAGATAATGGAGAAATTGGAGTAAAAGGCAGGTTGTGAATTGTAACTAAATAGTTGGTAAATAATCTGATCAGTAAGTGAAATACGTGAGAGTATGTGGAGAATTTAACTAAGTAAAGACGTGGTCCTGGAACTGTGAAGAAGCTTCAGAATGTGACTAAGTGTTGAAAATGTGGTTCTGTTTTGAAGTGCTCAGTCAGGCTGAGGCAGTTGAAATGTTCGGTCTGGCCGAGGCTTTTGAAGTGCTCGGTCTGGCCAAGGCTTTGAAGTGCTTAGTCTGGCTGAGGTTTTGAAGTGCTCGGTCTGGCCGAGGCTTTGAAGTGCTCGGTCTGGCCGAGGCTTTGAAGTGCTCGGTCTGGCCGAGGCTTTTAAGTGCTCAGCCGGCCGAGGCTTTGAGTGCTCGGTCTGGCCGAGGCTTTGAGTGCTCGGTCTGGCCGAGGCTTTGAGTGCTCGGTCTGGCCGAGGCTTTGAGTGCTCGGTCTGGCCGAGGCTTTGAGTGCTCGGTCTGGCCGAGGCTTTGAGTGCTCGGTCTGGCCGAGGCTTTGAGTGCTCGGTCTGGCCGAGGCTTTGAGTGCTCGGTCTGGCCGAGGCTTTGAGTGCTCGGTCTGGCCGAGGCTTTGAGTGCTCGGTCTGGCCGAGGCTTTGAGTGCTCGGTCTGGCCGAGGCTTTGAGTGCTCGGTCTGGCCGAGGCTTTGAGTGCTCGGTCTGGCCGAGGCTTTGAGTGCTCGGTCTGGCCGAGGCTTTGAGTGCTCGGTCTGGCCGAGGCTTTGAGTGCTCGGTCTGGCCGAGGCTTTGAGTGCTCGGTCTGGCCGAGGCTTTGAGTGCTCGGTCTGGCCGAGGCTTTGAGTGCTCGGTCTGGCCGAGGCTTTGAGTGCTCGGTCTGGCCGAGGCTTTGAGTGCTCGGTCTGGCCGAGGCTTTGAGTGCTCGGTCTGGCCGAGGCTTTGAGTGCTCGGTCTGGCCGAGGCTTTGAGTGCTCGGTCTGGCCGAGGCTTTGAGTGCTCGGTCTGGCCGAGGCTTTGAGTGCTCGGTCTGGCCGAGGCTTTGAGTGCTCGGTCTGGCCGAGGCTTTGAGTGCTCGGTCTGGCCGAGGCTTTGAGTGCTCGGTCTGGCCGAGGCTTTGAGTGCTCGGTCTGGCCGAGGCTTTGAGTGCTCGGTCTGGCCGAGGCTTTGAGTGCTCGGTCTGGCCGAGGCTTTTGAAGTGCTAG